TGGGCTGCATGTGGCCCGCGGGCGGTAGTTTGAGGACGCCTGCAGCACAGGGTCAACAGAGGAGCCACAGCAGTGGACCCAGCAGCCAGGTGGCATTGCAGGAGGTTTTCCAGCCCACAGAGCAGAAAAGCTCTGTGCTCAGGGGCCGGAGGCTGGCTTTGTGGAGGGGCTGCCTCTGGACACTCTGAGGGAATTTCATTTGATGACTCATGGAGCTGGAGCCACATGGCTTCAGGGCGATGTGTACAGAGGCCTTCATTGGCAGCCCTGAAAACCAACAACTTTGTAACATTGCCCTACCAGGGCAGAGGCCAGGCTGAGAGCCACAAAGAGGCCGACATATGGGCACGGCAGAGAAAAATATGTTCCCATTGAATTAGTGTTATCTCAAGACCTGAACTGTAACCGGTTAACTTCCCTTTTGATAAAGTCCATAATTAGGAGCCTAGATTGGGAGTTCTGTGTGGCCAGTTTAATGAATCATCAAACCTAGATAGGTTTTTAGTTGGCAGCATTTAAAAACATTTTGTGATAGATAATTTCAAATATATATAAAGATATAAAAGTAGAATAGCCTAAAGAACGTCCATGTACCCATCCGCAACACGGATAACATTTTGACAATCTTGGGTTTATTTGTTAAAGGAAGCATTTTGTAACTTTCCATGAAGCATTATTTAAAGACACAAGAATTGTTAGAGAAGTCGTCGTGGAGAAAGGCCCAGAAATGCATTGTTTTCCATAGCAGCTGGGGGAAAAAATGGTTTAGCAGGCATGTGAAGTAATTTGATTAGCTTTAAATTTGTTCTTGGACTTTGAGTTGAGATGCAGATTCCATTCCAACCTCTTTTCCAAAATATGAATTCGGTCTAAAGGAATAATGAGAATACAAAAGAATGAATTAATACAACCATTTATACTCTCTTCTTTACCAAACATCCAAATTCCTATTCCAGCTCTGCCCTATGCCAAATTGCTCCATGTTTAAAATCTATGTCAATATGTAGCTCGTGGTTCAGTAGCCTTCCACCACTTTAGAGACAGAATTATGATTTTAATATCATAATGTTGACGGGAAAATATAACAAAGTACATTGCACCATTAGGAAGAGACATAACCATTATTTAAGATTCACATAAATCTCCAGGAGTAGATCTTCTGGAATATTTCATTTCCTTGCAATTTGCATTCAGGCATTCATTGAGGAATATTAAATGCCTACTGTGTGTCAGCACTGTTATTAAGCCGTGGGGTGAATGAATGCTCTTTGGGTTGCCAGAGTTTTCTTCTACTGAGTGCCAATGAATCATCTAACATAACGTCTCCAGAGTCTAAGGCCCAAAACAATCTCTCACAGTGATATGAGACCAAGTCAGTGGGAACTGCCACATTCAAATTCTCTCAAAGCGATGTTGGTATTAAATTCTGTGTCAAGTCAGCCGCCCTGGCCTTTAGGGAAACAGCTTTACTGGGGAAGAGGGACAATCAACGATTCTCAGGCAGAGTTCAGGGAGGACAAGAATGGTAAGAACAACCACCAGCTTGACACTGCTTAAGGTCTTCGCTTAAGGAGGCGATTGGAAGCAGCTGGAAGACAAGTGCTGGGAGACGGCTTCTGAGACTAAAACAGAACTCATGACAGCATGGCCCACGAAGAGGACATTGCTTTGTGTTGTATGTGGTAAAATAGCTTAGTGAAATAGAGGTTGAACTAATGTCAACCAGCCCCACTGGCAACTTCATCATTCTAATCAAACACTTTCCAGGACGTTTTGGGAGATAGGGCTTTCTAACGACTATAGTTCTGGGTGAAGCAAATTGTTTGTGCTTGGCTGCTAATTGGAAGGTGGTGGATTGAGCCCACTCATCAGTGCCATGGAAGAAAGGCCTGGTGACCTGACATCACAAAGACTACAGCCAAGAAAACCCTATGTAGCTCAGTTCTGTTCTGGAACACATGGAGCTGTCATGAGTCAGAATAGCCTTTGATGGCGAGTGGTTGTTGTTTTTTTGGTGGGGGGGCTTTTTTGGACTTTTTTTTGGGGGGTTGAGTGCCTCTTCTAAGTGCAAACTAATCGTTGAAAACACTCCCATAGGAATCGACAGTAAGAGATGGTGAAGTCAAGGATCGAGTTGCCCTCTTGTCTGAGAGGAACAGGAAATCATGGTCAGGAGAGTTTAGGAAACTAGGTCAGCAAGCAGCTGCCACTCAATTTCAATTACGTCGTCATCAAAAAGTTAGTGACCTTATTGGAGAACTAACAACAACGAGTATATGAACAACATGTTCTGAAATTGATTGTGCTGGTAATTGCACAACTCATTCTATTATGATTGGTTGAATAAATTGTATGATATGTGAATTATATGGCAATATATTTTTTAAGTTAGTGACTTTTCTCTGTAATGGGGGTTTGGGGACTTTAGAAAACTGAGTGTATTGTCTATAAGTTTATAGAGCCTGAAGTCCCCCCCATTTTAGGCACTGAATTATTATTTTCATGTGGCATTGACAGGAAAAGGTAATTAGGTTACACAATTGCAGTGTAACATCCAAGTCAATTACTACTGATAACAATGGACCCCAAATATAGCTTAGGGAAATGAATGTCTTGGTCTACACATATCTTTACTATCTTAAAGCGATTGTGTAGTTGAGGTAGACATAGTTGACATTAGTATTAAACAGGACTACTCCACTAAGGGCAAACACCTGGATACATCACAGAGACCTCCTTACCCATCCATGCTGTAGTCCTCAATAAAACTCCTGGGAAGCTGACTACCAACTGAATGGATAGGGTGACAATTGAACACCTTCCCTCTGTTTCCAAGGGATGTCTCATATGTCTGAGAAATGCCCATAGTGAAGAAGGGAAAGATATCTTTGAGCACTTGTTTTGATATTCATAGATCAGCCAAGAATTCCCAACTTACCTTTTAGAAACAATTCATTGCTTTTCTCTTTTCAATATCTCGCTTGAGTTGACAAAGGGTGCAGTTAGGAAAACATCCAAGCCACATGAAATCATTGCAGATGGACCCCTGTTGAATAAATAAACTTCTCAACATGCAGCCAATAAATGATGTCACAAGAAGCCCTTTTGTTTGCCTAGTTTTCTAAGTCTTTTAAAAATGCAGATTGTATTTTACTTATCTTGGGACTTGTGTGGCATTATTCCCATTTTTCTGATGATCTGTGGAACTGTAGGATAAGCACTGACCTGCTAACTGAAAGGTTAGGTGTTCAAACCCACTAGCCACTCCTGGGAGAAAGATGAGGCTGTCTCCTCTCATGAAGATTCAGTCTTGGAAACCCTAAGGAACAGTTCCATTTGGTTTAATATGTTCACTATTCAACTTGATGGCAGAGGGTTTTAAAAAATTAAATGACTCAATAAGATCATATAACAAATTAGTGCCAGAGTTTGGGCTTTCCCTTTCAAAGTCAGTGCCCTCGGCATAACATTCCGCTATTCTCAGTGAGCTGTAGGTGACAGTCAGCCCCTGTCCTCTCTCATTTGTTCTGGACGTGTTCCTTCTGAAGGCAATTGTTTAATGCACCGATTTGTCTATAGTTTGTAAGCAGTACCAGGCCAGGTCCCACCTCTCTCCCTCCAGCTGTTTTCATTGACAGCTCTCCCGTTTGTTCTGCAAGCAAGGAGAGGTGAGGGAGCAATATATAGTGATAAATGACCCTCTGGCAGGTGGCCTAGAAAGGACTGTGGTCAGGAGTCACAGATTCAGAAGGTCTAGTCTAGCAACCAAGTTCTATGACCATGCCCTTGGCTGACTGAAGTAACTTTGGACTCCAATTCTTTACAGAACGTACCTTTTCAAATGTTGAGTTTAATACAATTCCCAACTTGTAGGATGTTTGGGAGAGAAAAGGAAAGAGGATAGACAGATAGCGAGTACAATCTATGGTTGTTCTAGTTAGTTGCTTTCAGGCTGAATCGGACAACTGGTGACCTCCGGGTGCAGATCAGCACGGCCTCCTCGTAGGGTTTCCAAGGCCATGGCCCTTTGGAAGCAGATTGCCAGGTGTGTCTTCCGAAGGGCCCATGGGCTGGTTTAAACTGCCAACCTTTCACACAGTAGCTGAGTGCTTAACCTCTATGTTAAGATTATGGGTGATTTACTTTTCGTCCTTCCTCATCTCACTTCTACCAAGCTCATTCTGACTCACGCCGATGCTAGAGGGCAAAGTAGAACTTCTTCTATGGGTTTCTATACTGTGAGTAGCCAGCCTCAACTTTCTCCCACTGAGCAGCTGGTAGTTTCAAACCACCGACCTTGTGGTGTGCAGCCCAATTGGTAGCCCCCTGCGCCACTCAGGATAGTACCTGTCTTTTCAGCCTTGAACTCATTAATTTTTAAAAAATTCTTTAAACCTTCATTAAGACTTGTTGAGTACCTATACCATGCCACAAGGAAGCAAACAAATAGTCTTATTCAGTAAGGCTCTGGTTTACAAAGACCATCGCGAAGAATGGGAATTCCCCAGCACTTCATTGTGCTCCCATGGTACCTGGCCATAGAAAAACAGCAGCTGTTTGAACAGGACAAGATACCGCCCTTGTCTGGAAGCGGTTTGAATAGTCTCATGGCCACAGAATCAACGGACAAGCAAAGACTCGAACAAGCTGTGTGGCACATGACTGAATTCATAGCTACCCAAGAAGGCACGATGGTGAAGTAGAAAACCCAAACCCAAACCCAGGTCCCTGAAGACCGTCAGCATGTGCTTGAGCCCAAATTCTAGCCTTTACATGTTCCGTGACCTTCAGCCGTGTTGACCCTTGGTTTCCGTCTCTATACTGGGAAGACAACCACCCTGACACCATAATGGGCTTATGTGTAGTAAAATAAGAAGATACACGTGGCAGCATTTTCCAACCCACACTGGGAGTTCCATTGGTTGGCACTTCCTTTCTTACTCCTCCTGGGAGAGGCTGTGCTCTGACCAAGAGGCTGCCCTCTCAGCTGTGCCCATGAAGGGAGAGGCAGCTCGCGGAGGCTGCAGTCGAGCAGCCTCATGAAAAGTTTGCATATATGTAAAGGGGAAGCAAAGAAGAGAGCCCGACTGACACAAACCAGCTCTAGAATGACCAGCCAGTTTAGTGGTCTGTTAGACGTCAGAACAGACACACTGTGTCTAAACAGCAGACCCTGGTGGACAGTGGGGGAGTGTCCGGCTGTTAACCCGGCAGTTTGAACCTACCAGCAGCTCCACAGGAAAAGATCTGGAGATCTGTTTTCATACAGATTGTTGTAGTGGTTGTTAGGTGCCATTGAGCCTGTTCCAACCCATAACGATCCAATGCACAGCAGAGCGAAACACTGCATAGCTCTGAGCCATCCTCACAGCTGCTCCTACGCCTGAGCCCATAGTTGGAGCCACGCTTTTAATTCAACTCGTCAAGGGCCTGCCTCCCTCTCTTTCGCTGCCCCTCCACTTTACCAAGTGTGATGCCCTTCTCCAGGGACTAGCGTCACCTGACCACATGTCTAAAGTTTGGGAGTCAATGTCTCGCCATCCTTGACTCTAAGCAGCATCTGGCTGGACTTCTTCCAAAACAGATTTGCTCGTTCTTTGAGCAGTCCATGATACTATCAGATTACAGCCTAGAACATTCTGTGCGGCAGTTCTACTTTGTCACATAGGGCCATGCATGTTGCAACAACCCACAAAGGATACATACTAGTTATGAAGCAAAAAATAACAGGAGAATCCTGGCAAACACTATCTTAACCAAGTGGTCAGTGAACATTACCTTACCATTAACAGGATGCACTGAAAAGAAAATAGCATCTCTTCTGAGAGGTCTCCACCCAAAAAGGCAAAACCCAAATCTGATTATGAGGAGAACTCTGACAAGCCCACATCGAGCAACATTCCGCAAGATAATCGACCTGTACTACTAAAAATGCCAAAGTCGTCAAAGACAAGGCAAGAGAAACTATCTCCAGATTGTCACAGACTAAGGGTACATGACAACTGAATGCGATGCGTGATCCCAGATGGATTTCCATTTCCTATGAAGAACATGATTGAAGTGGTTGGTGACTTTTGGAATATGGCCCATAAATTCGCTGGCAATATTGCATCCATGGTAATTTATTATTTATCATTGTGATTCTGTACGATTTGGGAAATGCACACTGAAGGAGTGAGTGGCGAAGGAACTTCAAGGCTGGACTATACTCTTAATTGATTCATAAGACATAAGATAGGTAGGTAGCTAAGTACACAGACGTGAGGGAGAAAAGAACAACGCCAAGCGACGAAGGCGAGGCCAGCCCCCACCAAGATTCAGTCAGACGGGAGAGAGCGCAGGGCGTCTAGTGGACACCGGAAGACTCGCCTGGATGTTGTATCGGGTCCGGTAGAGGGTCCTCATGGCGACACTTGCTCCGCACAGGCAGCATTCATCCATGTCAGAGGCAATCTGGCACGAGAGGCACAGTGGACAGAAAGTCCCACAGAGACCTGGACGGAGGCGACATCACAGAGAAAGTCGTCATCGTCTTGACTAAATGAAAACAGAGTGCAAAACGATGCACAGAAAATGTTCTTCGTGGACTCTGCGAAAAGAAAGGTGTCATCTAGCTCTAAACCCCTTGTTTCTAGAGAGAACCTAGCACCTAGGAGTTGAGGGGGCAATTTCAAGTTGTTATTACCGAGGCAGATTTTATTACACCACCTCCTGCCTTGCCACCTTGGAGCATGCGCAAATTGTCTTCCTTCCTTGCTCGTGATTGCATGTTGGTCCGGATAGCTCGGAAGTCTGCGGCGGCGCAGTGGAAAGGGCGTTCATAGGTGAGAAAATGCTGAGGGGGCAATCACCAAGGTCAAAGGAAAAAGGCCCTAAGGAATAGATTCTGGGCGGGCATTTGGAGCAGAGAGCTCTGAGCATCCACACAAATAGAAGTGTGACGACGGAGGCTTGCAGAAATTAAGGAATATCAGCATTAGCAATTTACAGTGTTTTCTGTGCTTTACTTTCGTGAACCTAAGGAAATCGTAAGGAACCGCTCTGAGTACAACGTTTATTTTGAGAAGTTCTAGGGGAGAGTTTTTGTACGGCTGTACCAGGTAAGGACGTCCATGCTTTCTCATGGATTGTTCTAGGTCGAAGGCTCTCTCCAGTGAACTTGGAAGTTTCACCGTACAACAGAGAAAAAGAGAGGGAGGCCTATTGTTCAAAGACGGCCCAGAGTGTTTCTTCAGCAGCAATGGGAAGTGTGGTTGGCGGTATAAAAGAATTAAAGTCAGTAAAGAGAAGCGGGTAGGGAAGCAATACTTGCTGAAACGGGACAATCGCAAGATTACAGGAATAGCACTGAATGCCCCCAAACACAATCAGTAGCACTGTACAAAATGGAAAAGGGAAAGAAAAAAGGAGGCAAATTGGAGAAACATGTCAGGAACATGGCCATACCAGAGAAGTAAAAACAAAAGCAAAACGAACAGGAAGGAGGTGATTGAGATAGAAAAGGACCACCCGCGCAAGGCCAGACAAGAGGAATCCACACGGCAGACAGGTTGGCAGGGATGTAACCGATGGGCGAATGGCTCACTGAACCAAACCCCCTGCCCCTGAGCCAGCTCCGGGTCACAGAGACCGTCTCAGCGTCTCTGAGATGGTCAAGCTCTCCAGGAGCAGGCAGCGTCTCATCTTGCCTCCTCCATTTCTGCCAAGCGAGGAGAACAAGGCCCATCTTTCCCGAATTTCCAAATATTCAAGAGAAGCTGGAAAACTAGGTTTCTATGTGAAATTTGATGTTTGGTGGTTTCCTACAATTTAAAAATTAAAGCTCGGGAAACATCAAGATGTTCAGGTGGTACAGGCCCCAGCCCAGACCACACCTGAGTCAAAGCCACCCATGGACTTTCAGTTTGTGACTTCTGGTTTACTGAACGGAGCATGGAAAGCAATGGAAGGAAAAAATAGTTTTATGATAACAGCAATTTGCATCCTAGTCACCAAGGGGAGAGCCCGTGACTTGTGCACTTACAAATCCCCATGTCATCACAGCAGTCAAACACGCCGGTTTGCCAGTCACTGACGGCCATGCCTCCCGCGCCGTATCGTGGCTGCGTCGTAACTGGATTCATTTTTAAGGCTGAGTTCAGGAGGCTACTCTCTGTGAAAACAAAACATAACGTATTAGACACCTGCCTGTGTTGGTGGATTAAGGTAGATACTAGTTATATATTGGGAGTCCTGGCGCGGTGTGTTACTAGCTCAGTTGCTAACTGCAAGGTCAGTAGTTTGAAACCCACTCCCGGGGAGAAAGGTAAGGCTTTCTGCCCCGTAAAGAGTTACCATCTCAGAACCCTGCAGGGGCAGTTGGGCTCTGGTCTGTGGGGTTTCTATGCGTCTCCGTTGACTTGATGGCAGTGGCTTTTTAAAGAGTTGTGTGGTGCAGGGACTTTTTATTAGTTGTGAGATACAGTGATGTAATCAAAATGTCAATCAAGAAGACATTTCAGTACAACTCTCCTGACCTGAGGCTGTCAGGTCCAACTCTTTGTATAATGTGCTAGACAGGGTTCTCTAGAGAAACAAAACCAGGACACTGCTAATTTTGTATCTATTTATATAGATACAAAAGAAATAAACAGTTAATTAATCTATAAAGCAGTACAAATGGCTCAGTGCAACTCACTCCCGTGAGACAGTTGTGAGACACTGGCAGTCCTTCAGGTCTTGAGAGCCGCAGGGTCGTCCTCTGTAGAGCAATTTAGGCTATCCGGACACAAGCAGCAAACAGCAAGCAGGTCACCAACAGTCAGCCAGATGACAGGATCCGACAGTCCCCAGCACAAGAGATGTATATTCCAGTAGTGTGGCGAAGCAGGTCTTGAAGGAACCTCAGGTTACAGCGACAGAGACCACGGGTAGGCGTCCCACCGATAGTGTAGCTTGCAAATGGAGGCACAGAACAAGCAAGGCAGCTGCACACTGGCCCGATGATCAAAAAGCAAGAGAGAGGCGAGACTCACCGAGCCATTTAATCTCTCCGCCCTTCAACTAATCTCACATGTGTTCACTGGCCACGTTGGCACAACAACTATAATACCCATCACATATCCTATTCCCAGATTGATGTCCATGTTGGGAGATTGAACTCTTGAAGGAGGCAGCGCTCTCTCATCTCCTCCCTCTCCCCAACTGCAGTTTAAGTTAAGGTCGAATTACATCAAGGCTCATTTTTCAGACTGTTGGGTATAGATACAACACTTAAGTAAGATCCAAAGATGGCTGATTTGTTAGGAGGAAAATGTGGCTGTCAGAAGATTCTCTGGTGGCATAGAGGGTTACCATCGAGTGGTTTGAACCCACCAGCTGAGGCTCTCTACTCTCATAAATATTTACAGGCTTAGACATCACAGAATCTTAATGGGCCGTACAAAAGGAATAAGGAAGAAGCATTGATACATTAAGATTCTGTGTTCGGGAAGAACATTGAGTATACCAGGAACTCCCAAGAACAAGCAAATTAATCTTGGAGGAAATAGAATCGTAATGCTCCTTAGAAATCAGATGATAAAACTCTGACTCACTTGCTTTAGAGAAAACGTACTGCCATTGAGGCAATGCTGACTCATAGTAACTCTATAGGACAGGACAGAACTGCCTCTCTAGGTTTTCAAAACAGTAATTCAATGGAAGCCTCATCTTTCCCCCCTGGAGCAGTTGGTAGTGTCAAACTGCTGACCTTTCAGTTAGCAGCCCAGTGTGTAACCACGACACCACCAGGGTGCCGTCATATTTTGGAGAACTCAGCGGGAAAGCCCAATTGCTGGTGAGGGACATCATTTTTGGTCAAGTAAGAGAGTCAGCAAATAAGAACAAGCCCTAAAGGAGACGGACTGACACAATCTCTACACCAATGGACTCACACGTACTAAAGATTGTGAGGAAGGTGCAGGGCTGGTCAAAATTTCCTTCTACTATAACCACAGCTATATCTAAGTATTATATCGCTACGAGTTGGAGCAAACTTGATAGCAGCAACAGTGTTCTGGTTTCCTGGTTACAATGGAGTTGCAATGAAAACATACGATGCTATGTAGCAGATGTTTTCCTTTTTTTTTTTTTTGCCTACAGAGCCATTCTGTCTTAGAAAATCACTGAGATATTTTAGCCATTTAGAAACCCACAGTCATATTGTTTGTTAGTACCTGTGGTGTATGAGAACTTAAATAGAACTAGGTTTGTGGAAGGTTACATTTTACAGTGGGAGCCCACTCCATTTTGGGTCTTGACACAAATTCAGCGTCCACTGAGTCCTTCCTGATCATCCCAGGGATGTGTCTTGCCGTGTCCTTAATGGAAACCGGGATATCGGGGCTGCATGATTATGAGCCACAGCCCTGCGAAGATGGTCAGCAGGCCTGAGCACCAATCCGATAAGAGCACCAATCTTCTCCTCTATAATTGTGCGTGTATTTCCATCACGGTCCCTTTCTCGCTTCCATAGTCCTGCTTGTGGGCGGTGAATTGCTCTGCTACCAATCACGATTTCAGGACGGATTTATTTCCTATGCTTTCTCATTTGCAATGTAGTCGCGAATCCTTTGGCCACATTATGGCCTCATGCTGATATCACCCTATCCTGATGATTGGCCTTTGTCCTGTTTAAAACTTGATAAAGGTCTCTCTATAAAATACTTTGAATTGGGGGTCTTCTTTCCCTAGCATGGTGGTATAACTATATAACATAATTGAAAACTCTTACTCATATTTCTTCAACTATAGCATGCATGAGAATGACACATATGATTACTTAAATTTTTAAAAAATAATTGTATTGAGGGCTCATACATATTTTAAAAAAGACACATATTAATTTTGACACGTATCATTTTAAAAAAGAAGAACATGCAAGGGACTTATTAAAAATGCACACCTCCAGACACTTGGGATCTAACAGTCCCGGTGGTTCTGTGGGTTAAGCATTGGATGGCTAACTGTGAGGTCAGGAGGCACTTCTGTGGAGAAAGGTGGGGATGTCTGTTCCCATAAATTCAGAGCTAGAAGAGTAGAAATCACCATTATTTTTTCTGAGACGTGGCCGTGGTTTCAAACTGCTAACCTTGTGGTTTGCAGTCCAGCACAGAGCCCACTATGCTACCAAGTCTCCTCACTTTTTAAGAGAGAAAGGAAAGAAGTGGAAGGTTCACAGTAGGAGTGTTGCCTCCTTCATTGCTTTAGAATCTGCAAGTGCGTTTCAACTCCTCTCCCAGATAACGACTCTCCTGTGAACCACCCAGATACCAACTCTCCTGTGAACCAAATCAAAACAAGAGAAAGAAAAGAAAGGCATACTTCTTTTTATACAGGAGCCTAGTTTCATTCTGGCACTGTACACAGTTACAAAGCCAGAGTCACTTCTACAGAAATACAAATGAAAAGAAACTAGATGAGAGGAACTCAGTAAGTGGGGAATCCCCAGTGGAAACAAAAGACCCCAAACCACAGAGACATCTGCACAGCCCAGAAGAACAGGTATAACTAGCAGAGGAAGTGGTGGTATTTAATTTAATTTCAATGAAAACAATTCTGTACCAAGACTCTCCTGTTCCGCCCCACCCCACCTTTCAGGACTCTGAGCTGGTGAAGTCCAGGCACAAGCCCCTGATATGAGAATAACCTCCCCTACTCCCATGCCTACCTCCACCCCATCCCGCCCTAACCCCATGCAAATCAGCAGAGAATAGAATTATCACTGGGTTCTGCCAAATTTGAGGACGTTTGGTTGAAGGGCACTGCAGTTTTGACCTGAGCATAGAAAAGTAGGGAATTTCTGTGGAAATAGCCTGAGAAAATGCTTATGGGAAAAGAAGGGATGGTCAAGACATCCCGTGTTTAGAACAAGAAACAGGGTCACGAATGCGAGGGTGGCAACGCGTGGCACAGCACACGTCAACGTCTTCATTCTTGTGCCCGCAACAGACATTGCTAATTGATTCCAGAACATTTCCTCTTGGATATATTTTAGAATCCTTCGCAAGGCAACACATAGGTTATCATGACTATTTGATCAGACGTGGCCTCAATTGACTGCTGTCTGGGGCCCTGGTGGCATAATGGATTATACCTTGGGCTAAGCACATCAGCGGTTTCTGGAGAGAAACGAGCGAATTAGAAGTGGAGTACATCATAGATTGTATTTTATTATTAAATGCTTGAGCCTGAATCATGGTTTGTCCTATTGCTCCTCAGACAAACCGGCTGCAGCGAGAGAGTCCTATCAGCACAGGTAGAAATACTGCCCCCTGTGAGAGAGGGCGAGGCTGAGTGAATGAGTTCCACAGCCATTTACGTTTTGTTTGTCCGTACACGGTGAGCTGAGGACCTGTAGTAACGGGAAGGTAAGGGCACTGGCTAGATGTGTTGAGCCTTTTTGTTAATGTTCCACTGTACTAGAAGAAAGCACCCGGGGGGCTAAGGGAGGTGTTTACACTTTGGGTATGTTTACAAAAGAGTTGTTTACCTCCTCTGTGAGTAGGTGACATATAACACAGAGAGAAGCTAGTATTGTCTTGGAAGCCTGGATAAAAGAGTGGTACGTTGGCAACTATTTCCTGACGGTAAGGAGTCCATGAGCTGCTGGTAGCAGCGGAGGCTGGAGCTGGAGCGAGGCACAAAGGAAGCAGGAAGAGTTATGTCCTCCAGAGGCGATGAGTACAAGGGCTACTTCCCGAATGAGTTTCACCCACTCAAAAGGACTGTTGCATTTCTGGATTAATTGTTCTGCTAAGTTAGTTTTACTTTTACGGATATTATCGGTAACTACGTGTAGTGCTTTATGTAATTGACTGGGTCAGAGCTGTGAGGAAAGGGCATGAACCACCTGTTGGGGTGTCTGAGAGGTGAAGGAAAAGTGCAGACAGATGGAGGGACAGGTGGTCGGGTTGCAAACAGCTGTGGCAATGACTTTGGTTTGGCCTTTATGAAAACCTGTGTATTCTGTTAGCAGATTTTGTTTAGGGATTGTTTCCTGAACTGTGAATTGCTACATGTACATTTCTGAGACTAGGGAGGGGTTGGGGGTCACAGAATTGAGTAAGAAGTTAAGTAGAAATTTTAGTAAAGCATAAGGTGGTAGGGCCCACCATCTGATGGAGTAATGGTCAAGGTGTGGGTTAGGGGTTAATTCCATCCGAGTCAGATGATGCCAATTGGGGTCTCTGAGGACTTTGATTGCTGTGGGCGTCGTCAGGACGACCATGTGTAGTTTTTTCGGCTTGCGTTGCAGAGGTCGAGGATGGAGAGCTTTCGGCAGCACAGAGTTTCCTGGGCTGATTTCAGGTAGGTGAGGTTGTACAGGTTTAGGGGCAGGTAGATGTCTGTCTGCTGTTCTCAGAGAAAAGTTCTTAAGAGAGAGAGATAGGGTAAGTAGTTTGCCAGTGGTGGTGGTGTGGCTGGTAAAGTTATGGTTGATTAAATTAGGCCTGCCATCCATCAACTTGAAGGGCTTAGGAAAGAGGGAGAGCGAGGCGTGGCATGGATTTGAGTTAGGGCGAGTGGAAGCAGGTCTACTTATGACTGGTATTGTTTTAGAGTTAGTTTAGCCAGATGCCTTTTTATAATTCTATTCATTTTGTAAACTTCCAGAGGCCTGAGGCCCGTATGGGATATATAAGTGCCATTTAATGTCTAGTGGGAATGACACTTGTGTGATTTGAGACACAAAGCGTAGGTTGTAGGAGCTGAAGAAGAGCACGGGGACGCCGAGAACAGTGGACCTGATGGATCAGGTCATTGGGGAGGGTCTAGAGGGCTCGCAGGGGTGGCTGGTTTGAATTAGGGACCTTGTCTGCTTTGTTGCTTCCTCGTGTTCCTGGGGAACTATCAGCTTGATGTCCTTCACATTTTTCACTGAATATGAAAAATGTATTAACTAAGTGTCAGCAGAGGGTGAAAGGTCCATGGGAGTTGGTTTTGCTGCATGGCATAAAGGCAGCTGCGATTACTGTGGGGAGATTAATGGTTTAGTTAAGAGGGAGAAAGTGGGGATCTAATGTAAAGAGTTTGTTCACTCAAAGTCAGTGGTCGGAGGTTCTTTATGACCTAGTGTTTATTTAGAGTTAAACCCTGAGCGGTGGGGCACAGGCCTAAACAGAGAGCAGCGGCACGAGGTAAATGTGCTTTGGAGGGAGAGAGACGTTAAAGGGCTGTGTTTGCTTTAGAGCTGTTGTAGGAGGGGCTGCAGTTAAAGGCAAATGAATGCTGACAAGCTAGGTGACCAAAGGCTTGGAGGGATGACCATTAATTCCCATCACCGAGACCGAGACCGGGGAAGGGGAAGTTGGGCCCGAGAAAGAGGGGAGGGCTAAAAAGCAGGTCCCGCTTACCGAAAGGGAAAGGAAACTGGCTTGATTGTCACCCTGGGCTTGGGGTGGGGGTGGGGGTGTTATTGGGGTCTCAGAGTTGTCAGTCACTAGTCCCAGCAGTGCCAGCGGTGGGTCGGGGTTCTGAGGGACCGTCCCTCTGCGGCTAAGCACCGAGGGGCAGTTGCTTCTCCCGTGGCCCTGCTGACCGCACACCGGCAAGGCTTACTGGGTGGTCGGGGCTGCGGGCAGTGTTTAGCCCAGTGCCCTTCCTGGCCTCACTGGAAGCAAGGTCCTGGCAGCGGGTGGTGAAAGCTGTTTGTTTCTGGCAGTCTTCTGACCCATCCTTCCGGCCAGCTTCAGGGTGGCAATCAAGACTTGGGCTTGCCAGCTTGACCCTTGGTGGCAAGCTGCCTTAGCCTGTTCCTTTAAAGTGTTAAAAACTTTAAATGCCATGTTTACCAGGTCACAGATGGGGGTCTGAGGGCCATCCCCAGCGTTTTAGGATTCTTTTTAATGTCGGTGACTGACTTATAAAATGAGTAGCTAGCACAGTAGCCCCTGTTGGAGAGGTAGGGTCTAGCCTAGTTTACTGGGTTAAGGCTTCAGTTAGGCGAGTGAGAAAAGCTGCCGGGTTCTCACTCAGTTGCTCGGTCATTTCCTGCAGCTTGTCAAAGTTTACTGCTTTGTGAAAAATGGTTTGTAAGCCGGCCAGCGAGTACTGTTTCGTGTGGTTTCGGCGGGGCCTGCCTTGGCGTCCAGCTGGGGTATCTCTTTGATAGGTCCAATCTGGCTCTTCCCTAGGAAATGCCTGAGGACCCACGGGCCTGGTGGCATCTGTGAGATGAATCTGATCTGCATGTTGCTGAGTGGCTGTAAAACCCACTTTCGCTCATCGGGGGTGAGGGTGGAAATGCGGACTATATAAAGGTCATGCCAGGTTAAGTCATACGCCTGGGTGAGATATTGGAACTCCTTAATGTATGTAGTGGGGTCCTTAGAAAATGTTGCCAAGCAGTTTTTTATCTGGCAGACATCAGTGAGGGAAAATGGTGTATGGACCATGATGGGGCCCATAGCTCCAGCCTCCTCACTGAGGGGACAAACGTGATGTGACCTACAGTGAGAAGCAACAGGAGAAGGTAGAAGGGCCGGGGAAGGTTGAAGGGGCTGAGGAGGTTGAGGAGGAGGGGAAGATTAAGGAGGAGTCTGACCAAGTTCCGGGCCTGAAGGGGGTGGAAGGGAGTAAGGTGGAGGATGGGTAGGTAGGAGGACAATGCTTCCAGGGAGTCAGAAGGGGTGAGATTGGGTTTAGCGGCCGTGAAAGGTAGCGTGAGTTTAGCAGGAGCTGGCGAGGGTGATTGAGCAAGTAAGACCTGGGCCGGGTGACAGGTGACATAAGGAAGGACGGGAGCAGAGGAAAAGTAAAGCCTGAACATACGGAACCTCAGACTATTTTTGAGTCCGGAGAGAAAAATTGTCCAGGTGGCAGAAAATGTTGCATTGAAAGTCCTGGCCAGCATGACTCATTGTCCAATTAGGATTGTGGCCACACTTGGTGACAGAAAAAGACTGGCTGCTTAGGGTGAATGTCCGGAGCCAGGCCCAGTTTGGTGAGGTTGGCCAGCAGCACCCCAAAGGACAGTCCTTAGGGCGCCTAGACAGGGGGCTTCCCATAGTGTCTCAAACTGCAGGGGGTATGGGCAGAGGAGAAGGGCATCCCCTGGTCCCCGTCCTCACCCATCAGACAGGAATGGTCTGATAACCCTGAGGGTGTCCCCTACAGAGGCGAGGACAGGAAGGGTCCCTGGCACAGGCCTGTGGCTTTACCTGGCAGACAGGGACCTTGGATCAGTGAAAGACACAACAGAAGCCAAGGAGAGGGAGGGACCTGGCCTTGTGGCTGGTAAAGTGGAGGTCGGTCAGAGGCCTTTGTTCAGAGTGGGAAAAGGAGGAAGTAGATTTCAGAGCAGTTCTGGGAGCAGGCACCGCAGAGCTGCAAACACAAAACACACAAACAGGTAGAAAAAGCTCAGACACACTCTTTGCGCTCTAGTCCACTCAGAGGGTGCAGTGACTGCCAGGCCCAGTGCCGGGAGTCCTGTTAGCGGCAGAAATCCCAGAAAGTAAACACAGAGACAAAGGGTTGGGGGAATGGCAGAGGGGTGGTGGAGAGTTGAGGGGGTAGTGGAGGAAGGTGATGGTGAAGGACACCCAGAATATGGAGAAGGCCTTATTGGGGGCACAGACAAGGAGTCAGGGGGTTTGGAGAAAGATGAGGAGGGGAGTACTGTCGAAGACCTGATTGGAGAGTAGTGGGTCTGTTTGAGCTGGCAAGTTTTTCTGGTTAGGAGAGTATTGGGCTAAAAGAACGTGGATGGGTTGACAGAGTAGAGAGAGATGGATGGGAGCATAGAAGGAAGAAAGCTTGGATGTGGGGGACCTCAGGCCATTTGCAGTTCACTGGCAAAAGTTACTGAGATCAGTCAAAATGTTGAAATCAAAAGTACCATCTTCTGGCCATTGAAACCCCTAATCTAGTTTCTATTGGGGCCAAATCGAATTGCCGTATAAAACAAGGCATTTGGGGAGATCTGGCTTTAAGCCAAGAGTTGAGAGATTAGCCAGGAGGCAACCTACAGGTGTGGTGGAGTCTGGCTTGGAAGTTTTATTTCCCATGTTGCAGGGTTCTTGGAAGAGCTAGACAATTAGCGTCCCGAATATCCAACTGGGCCTCTGGAACACAGGAAGGGGAAGGCTTCCCAGCTCCCCTGGAAAAGGAGCAGAGAGAATCAGGTGTCCCCAAGTGCTGCCCTTTGGATGTGGCTCTGCCGTGGGCCCAGGATTCAGTATGGAAATGAATGAACAAAGCCTCTAAAGAACCCAGGAGCAAAGGGCAGTGGCTGAAATAAAATTTAGTCAGGTACTGTCAGGTACTTACTCTTAGATGTGGTGCATGGCAGCTGAGAGGTCCTGGTCCAAGGGAAGGGGGTACGGAGGAGAGAGGGATGCCGCACTCACCCAAGGGTGGGCGGGTGCACGTCAAGACACCTCTTACTCCTCCTGGGTTTTGGCACCAAGATGAGAGGTCAACACTGAGACACGGAATGGAGATAGAATTGAGACAAAGAACATGAGGTCAATAGTGCCTTTATGAGGGTAGGGAAAGAGCTCCTGGGAGGGAAGGGCGAGCAGAGAAAGGGGCAGGAGCATCTTGAGGTCTGTAAAGGCGGAACTGAGGGACAGGGAGGAAGACGGACATAAGTGACTGGACAAGGGAGAGCAGAAGCAGAAAGAGCTTTATTAGGGGTTAGGGGAGCTCCCGGATGAGGTTCCGTGACCTAGGCCAACAGGTCAGGGAAGTCGTGCTCAGCAGCTGGGGGCGAGGGTTTTTAAAGGGGTGGTGAGGAATGTATGGCAATTAGCATATGGGGTCTGAAAACTGGGAGAGTTGCTTGTGGACTCCAGGAGGCTTTCTTTGAACCGGGAACATCAGGTTTCACTGGCACCAACTGCTGCTGACCTCTGGGACGTGCAGGGAAGCACGTGCAGGGCCCAAACTTGCTTCAGCTTAATCCAAACTGGGGCTGCCTAGTTCTGACCTGACCCAACAAGCTCCAGGGGGGGTTCTGAGACCCAATGAGTAAGTTCAGGGAAATCGCAGCTTGTCGGTGAGGCAGTGGGAGATATATAGGGCTAAGGAGGTACACGTTGACAACAGGAAGGGAGATTTTTTTTTTTTGCTTGCAGCTGCAGGACCTTGAGTCAGGTTGTGATCCCTGGGAAGTGCCTTTGTTGTTTGCCAACCTACTCCCTGGAGTGCTGGGACAGGGTCTATACAAAAGGGCCTGGGAAGATAAGTTGCTTCCTGGGGTGCTGGGGCAGGGGCTGCACAACCTTGGTCTGGAGAGATAAGCTCCGTGGAATGTTGGGGCAGAAGATGCAGACTTCAATAGGTCATTTATCTTTCCAAGGGGCTGGAAATAGGGGCCTTGAAGTTTTATCTTCCTGAGGAGCCCGAGAGGAGATGGGGGCTGCCTAGTCTGGACCTGGCCCAAACATAAACCACATAGCCAAGTCTGTGGCAAGCCCAGGGAGGGCAGTTTGCCCTCAGGAAGAAAACACACTCACTGCCATTTAGTCTATGCTGACTCGTAGTGACCTTATAGGACAGGGTAGAATTGCCCCTGTGAATTCCTGAGACTGTTACTCTTGACAAGAGAAGACAGCTCTGTCTCGCAGAGTGGCTGGTGGCTTCGAACTGCTGACCTTACAGTTAGCAGCCCAGTGTATAACCACTCCACCACCAGGGGTCCTCAGGAAGAGTATGGTTAAAAATAGCTTAACTAGTTAAAAATAAATGAACTAGAATGCTGGTTCCCTATGAATTGACTAGGTGGCAGTGAGTTTGGTTTGAGAGTGAGGAAGCGCTCACATGAAGACATCTACTGAAAGTAGCCAATCACATACATGTTATCTACTTTAAATTGCAGGCTGGGATCACGGAATTGTAGCTACCTTATGGCTATGACTCGGTTGCATGATCATAAGTCATTCACTCAATCACCCCTTCACCAGATGGTTGAATTCCCATAATCAGCTGTGACCCTTCCCCCAAGCCCACCTTTTAGTCCTGCCTGTGTCATTGAGGGATTGACCTGTTGCCAGTCTTGGTCTTGTTATAATTTCCTTTGTTCTCTAGCAAGTGCAATGACCGCCATGGTTCTGTGTTGGCAAACCCCATCAGCCTCTGTTTCATGTGCGTGCTGACAGTGACCCTCATGCCAATGATTTATCATTGTTTGTTTTGGCTTTGTCCTGTTAATAAAAGGCTGAATGAAAAGGTCCCTGTGGAACATGTTTGAATGTGGTGTCTTTTTTTCCCCCTAGCTTAAGTTTCTTTTAAATGCTTTGTAACTGTTTGAATAGCACTAGATGAATGAAGGTAAGTCAACGCGTATTGCTACAAACTCATCCAAGACTTTATTTAACCAAAATGTCAAAATGTGAAGCTATTGTTTCTCAACATGTCCTCCATCTGGGTCTACACATGTCTGAAGGTACTATTTCCATCCATTTAACCCTTCCCCAAAGAATTCTGAACGCTTTGATTTAGACCCTGTCAAATGGCAGTTTGGGCTTCCTGAAGGGACGCAAATCATGTTCGTTTCAGATGCTCTTTGCGTTTGGAGAACAAAAAGGAGTCAGATGGGGACAAACCCATCTGTCTTGGAAGAGGTATGGCCAAAAGTGCTCTGAGAGGCAATGATAGGGAAATTTTGGTTTTTTTTTTCAAGTTCTTATGGTGTTTTTAAAAAAAATCATTTTATTAGGGGCTCATACAACTCATCACAATCCATACGTACATCAATTGTGTAAAGCACATTTGTACATTCATTGGCCTCATCATTCTCAAAACATTTGCTCTCCACTAATAGCAAAGCTTTGCCTTGCATCTTTTAGACATGTTGTCAGGAGAAGCCAGTCCTTGGCAAAGGATATCATGTTTGGTCACATGAAGGGGCAGCAAAAAATAGGAAGGTCCTCAAGGAAGTGGGTTGATACTGTGGCTACAACAAGGGGCTCAGGCAGAGGAACAGTTGTGAGGATGGTGAAGGGCCGGGTAGTGGTTTGTTCTAGTGTGCGTGTTGTTCTATTCTGTGGGTTGAAACGGACTCAATGGCACCCAATAACAACCACAACATGAGGCCACAGTCGCTAGGTGGCCCGGATGGTTAAGTGCTCCCCTATTAACCAAAGGCTGCAGGTTTGAGTCTACTCAAACCTGGACAGAAAGGCGTGCTGATTTACTTACTACAAAAACAAAACACAAACAAAAAAATCCAACACTGTTCAGCTCAGTTCTACTCTGATGGACAGGGAGTCTTTGTGAGTAGAAATCGACTTAAAAGTCATTGTTGTTTTGTTTTGTTTGTTTTTAATTAGGACACAGATGGGAAAAGGCTCCCTTACCTATCTTAGACAGGTCGTGGTAAGAAGAGGTAAATCATTTCACAACATATGGCCTGTAGCCACTCACCCCTTCTCCTGGGTTCCATTGAGATTTGGCTGCTCTGAGGTGTGTTGAAGCTCACATTCTGAGCACCCCGATTTGCAGATAGCTGCAGATGGCAGTGGTGGCAAGCCCACATCCATTTGCAGAGCCCTCACACATAGAGTAAGCGCCTTTGAAAGCTCTCCAGCCATTAACCTAGGATGTAGATAATCTTATCCGCAGGCAGGCAGAATGCCTTGGGGAGTGGCTTGCCTCTACCCATCTCCTCACCCTGGGAGAGGCAATCACTCTCTTAAGGGCTTGCCTAGGTGTGTCCTTAATGGAGGCCCCATTACTGGGGACAGTGCAGGGGGTTGCGTAGTCAAGAGTCTCGCCCCAACTACCTTGATCGTACGTAAGGCCCCGAACAAATCTTGTAAGCCCTTCTGTCTCACCATGCATGATGTGTCCCACGCATGGCACAGTTCCAGTTTTTGTAGTCCCACTTGTAAACGTGATGTGTTTGATCTGCCACCAATCCTGCTTTTGTGAGCTTCCCTTGCCCCCACCCCACCCCTGCTCCCATACCCCATTTGTCTTGCTTCCCAATTGTGACTCCTCGGACACTATTGTAGCCACATTTCGTGGCCTCCCTCATCCGCTCTCGTCTCTTTTAAGACTTCATCACGTTCTCGCTCAGTTCTACTTGCGATGGGGCCTGTTTTGCACACTGAAACAAAGGCAATGGCTGCTTCTCAAGCTTCCATCAGAAACCAGGGAGGGTCTGTTTGCTCTCTGGAGCCAGTTCCCGGCCCCCGCCCCTTTCCAAGCACCTGAGTTTCTAGAACAGCGGTTCTCAACCTGTGGGTCATGATTCCTTTGGGGGTCGAATCACCCTTTCACAGGGGTCACCGAAGACCATCAGAAAACACAAATATTTCACAATATATAATTGCATATTGTTTTGTGATTAATCACTATGCCTACTTATGTTCAATTTGTAACGATGAAAATACATCCTGCATATCAGATATTTACATTACAATTCATAACAGTAACAAAATTATCGTTATGAAGTAGCAACGAAAATAATTTTATGGCTGGGGGTCCCCACAACACGAGGAACTGTATTCAAGGGTCACGGCATTAGGAAAGTTGAGAACCACTGCTCTAGAACGTTTCCGTCTCTGCATTGCCATAGGACTAATGTACTAGTAGTTTCTGTACAAAAGGCAAATGAGTACAATAAACATCATGAACTACCACCAGGACACACACCCCAAAAGAAGGCTACCCTAGTGCAGCCAAGGGATAGCTGTGATACAGGGGAAATTAAGACTAGAAATATAACTAGAAATATTAAAGATTTTGACTGTTAAAAATCCAAAATGTAACAGCCCATTACCTTTACAGGAAAAAGTCCTTTTAAGCTTAATCAGCAGGGATGTTCCCACACGGAAGCAAGGTCAGCGAGATTAGTAACCACACAGTTTGGATAAACAGGGGAACAAGAAGCTTCGGGGGATGGTGACCTAAGTGCCGCTAGAGAGATGTAGGTATCGATTATTTCTTAATGATCACGGTAGAACCTGCCTTCCGAGTATCAATCACATTTTGTGACATTGTAAAAAAAAAAGTAAAAAACAACCCCCGGCTACTTTCCTCCTGTAATCATTGTAAAACCCTGTTTGTTGTATCTGAACATGTGGGATTGGGACTGAGCGCTGAAAGAGTTCAGAGGGGGGCTGTAGGCTGTTCTCCTTCTGCCAGCACTTGCAGGAAGAAGCTGGGCTGTGTGGCCATCGGGACTCCAGGTTTTCCAGATCCAGGTTTTCCAGATCCAGGTTTTCCAGATCCAGGTTTTCCGGATCCCTCCCAGTCCGACAGCACTGACGTGAAACTAACTCAGTTCTGAGACCGTTTTAGCAAGCGATTCTCTGGTTCCTCAAAGCCACCCAGTTCTACAT